CTCGACATCTGGATTACAGAGAACCCAAAGCTTTCTACACAATGTTGTAGGGCAGCTAAGTCTTCAACTTCAGTCTTCCATGCCATCAAACGTGCATTTGCCGTTTTTGATTAAGAATGCTTGTCTCACATCTTCGGTACTTTTATACAGCTCCGTCTTAAATACGAAATTCGAGCCTGGAAACCGTGGACGCAGCAGGAATCCGACCTACTCGGGAGATTGCAGCGGCGGGTCACAAAATTTGTAAGAGACCAAGGATCACTGCCATATTAGATTGGCCTAAATAAGTTTAATACCTATTCTTTTAGTTATGGGACGTCACACGGAGACTCGATACGAATTTGCCGTACCGCGCGTGGCTTGGGTCTTGCCCTGTTATGTGACGAATTTTTTTAACGCACAACTACACATTACCTCCGGAGGCATCTCTTCAAATTATGTGTGCCCCGAAGTAGCTTGCATGTGAATAAGTGTTTTTCTCTGACCGGGTCACGGAAGTTTAGAATAAACTACCCAAGGCGATTGTTATGACCCAACTTGATATCCATATGCCGAAACACACCGTTGACTATGTTATTAATTAACCTTAAAACATCAGCAAGCAATGTAACTCTGTCTATACTCACCTGGTATACTTTCTTTAGTTTGTTTCTGATTCTTTCGATTTTTGTGTAAATAAAGGTAGTTTGAAGACGTAAGCCTATTGTCCTAAAATGCACTGCCTGACTGGCAAGTATTTAACAGATTTAGGATCTAGGTTTGTAGTGCCTAAGCCTAGAAAACGTATAAAACTTATAAGAAAATTATGCAACAGAAAACTTTTAAACGTTGTGCTAACTAGCAGCAACTAAACTATCGTCCGTAATGAACAATTTGACTGAACTTAAATGGTTATCACACTTACCTTTATAGATATTTCATTATATCCAGGTTTTTTGTACGTAGAGTGACGCGAAATTGGCGTATACAAATCTTTCGAAATGTCAACCCATCCAAGTGGTGGGGTTCCTCGCTGTCGGAGGACACGGTGGCGATATGCGAGGAAATTTGGATGAGAGTTCCTCGTATGGCCGCCTCCAGGGGGCTTTAATAATTAAAACCTACTTCCAAGTGTTAAATAGGTCGAAATTCCGCCTATCTAAAAGCTTTCTTGCTAATGTTAACCAATAGGAGTTGTTCTGATAGTTTGTGTGGTTTATATCGTGCCTTTTCAGACTTTTTATCCTTTCTGCAACTTTTTTCCCCTACATTTAATTCAGTAAAACGAATACTAGTGGCTTTAGTTGCTTCCCTATTGCGCAGTTATCACGCACCTATAAGGATCTTGGTGTGCTCCACCCTTTCATTTCCTGTTAACGACAACTCCCATAAGGCCCTTGGGCAGGAGGATTTATGCCATTGGGTGACAATACGAGCGAGCGATCCCGTACGTCAAAAATGCCTCGGTGGCCGTCGGCCGCCTTCTCGCCTCACTTAGTGTTGGAGTCGCACACAGGCCGGAGGCCAGCATAAGGTGTCAGATAATGAAATCAAAGGACCCGCTGCCACGGAACGAAACATCTGGAATCGCCTATAGGATCGGGTACAGTTGCGGACAATGCAACTACGTCGGAGAAACTAGAAGACTTCTAAAGACGCCACGTTCCGAACCCGTGGCAGCAATGCCAACCTCACGCTCTTGCTCGAGACAGTCCGCTTGCCCGGTCGCCAGCGAAAACGCTTACTCCTGCCTTGTGGTTCGACTCACGCCCCTGGTTGATTTTCTGGTTGAGCCACCCGTGACTTGGCACTGGCCAATGAGCATGTGCCATTCACGGGTTGTCTACAGAGGACAAAGGCGCCTACGGGGGTGCGGGGCTTAGACTCATAAGAACAGGCACGGACACAGATATGTCTGAAGAGACAACTATTGGCAATTACTGGCAGGGCGTCTTGTATGCTCTTTTGTTCAGTAAAAGCTGTTCCAACCCAGTCTACCTTCCCTGACTTCTGATTTGAGAAACTTTCTTATTGCCAACCATATTACTATAGCGACATTTTTACTTCCGCATTTTGCGGGCTTCGTGCAGCATTTATGCTCGTCAAGTTCGTCGAAAGATCAGATACAGATGATGAAACAAGACCACCCATCGCATGTTGCCATGCACACACTGGACATAAGTCGCGCGTTTGCATGGGAGCAAACCCAAATCTTTGGCGCCTGCCCAACTAGGAAGAGCCCCGAATTCCAGGAAGCGATGCATTCAGACGAGGCATGCATCAACAGGCATATCGACTTGGATCTCAACTACAAGT